GAACTTAGCAATAGTCCTAGTCCTGCTGAGATCAAACTTCAGCGAAATCAAATGATCGAAGCTCTCCTTTGCATTTCGCCTCTGAATGGCATTGGCGTTGAGACTGAGTAAACGGAGTAAACTGAGAGAGTGCAGGTGGCTCATTGTAGCCCTTGTTGGGGGTAGAAAGGGGGGTACCCCTCTACCCTTGTCGGCCTTATGACTTCCAAAGTAGCCTCATCCCACCGTGGGAACTTTCGAGGGCCAATCTGCTGTGACCACAGTCGGACGGGAGGCCGGTAGGTGCGGACCAAGTAGATGAGGATGAGGATCGGGTACACAAAGAGAGGGAACGCACCTCGAATAATTGGCTCTCCCCTGAACTTCATCAATCACTTGCAGTTGGTTAGTAGGGGAATGAGGGAATACGGTACCCTATGTAATCCCTTAAAGAGCGCATACAGGGGGATATAGAGTGCCTCATTCCCTCATTCCCTACTCACCAACAGCAAGATTAAGGTATGGTCAGGGGGGAGAGAAGCCTGGGGCGCTTGCTGCGCGGGTGCTTCCGCGCCATGAAAATGCCCACCATGACGATCTTGCCGAACATGGCCCAGAGCTCAAAGATGATCAAATAACCTGAGAGCTTGGGACTTTCTGAGCTTGGGGGAATCTAGAGAGCAAAAGGACCCAAGGCCCTGAACCCTCAACCCTAAACCCTCAAACCTAAACCCTAAATCCTAAACCCTAAGCCCACAGGAGAATGAAGCCGTACCACCGTCAGCCACAAGGTCAGGGATGTCCTCCATGATGCTGATCTTCAGGTCCTGCGAAGTGCCAGGGTTTAAGGTTCTGTTCAGGGTTTAGGGTTTAGGGTTCAGGGTTTAGGGTTTACGGTTTAGGGTTCAGGGTTTAGGGTTTAGGGATGTCTAGGGTCTAGGGTCCCAAACAACATGCCGGCTTCCTGGATGGGAACCTTCGCCCGGGACTCAGGCGTGTAGCGCAGATACTTGCGAAAAAGGTTGACCCGGAGATGGTACCGGATGTTGAAGCCTCAGCTTGGATTGAAGGGGGGAAGAATGGTGTCTGCACTGTTTCTGAGCTGAGCTGCCCATCTCCAACACGGCCATCTCAAAGTAGTCCGATGCCAAAAGAATGAACTTAGATGCCAGAGGCTTGTCATGCCAAGACAGCCGCAAAGTCTGTGACATGACCAAGAGTCGGGCATTTGGCAGGATCCAGGCCAGCCCCAAGGCAACAGCTGTGCCATCTCGATCGCCAGGAATCTCAGTTGCTTGCAGACATGCAGCAGACACGCTGCATATGCGCTGCACACGCGCTGCACACGCCCTGCACACGCGCTGGCACAAGCCCTCCAAGTGCTGAACCCAAAGACGGTCCAACGTGCTTGGATCCTGCACGGACGCTCATGCTTCCTCCAACCCTCCTGACTTCTCCCCCACTTGGCCTCCGTGTTCAACACGGTGTCCACCAGGTAGACCCTTGCCACACAAAATGCTCCGTGGACTGTATAAAATCCTACACGCAAGGCCTGAGAAAAATTGTCGCGAAGTAGTACATGTTCCCCAGATTCGCCAAAAGCAGCACCAGAAGTGTCTTCCTCAGAAAAATTTCGCCCTCAAAGTGCTCCGGAAGCCACTGACAGCTACTGGCACACACTTCCAGGCCGAGGGTCCACCAAATCTCCGGAACATGAGCAAAGCTAAAGCCTCATCCGAGTAGGCTCAGTACTGTTAAAGGGACAAACGAAAAGGCGGCAAATGCTTCCCAGCAAGGCTCCAAAAAAGACCGAGGTGCGCATGAAGGAGTAGAGCAAGCCGAAGCCAATCTGCGCAAGAGAAACGCCCTCTAGAAGATGACCGTTCAAAAAGCCTCAAACCCAAGAGAGGGTTCTTGAGCCTCGGCTTATTCTGAGGCAGCAACAAAAGATGGGAAGGTTCCGAAAATTGCGGTTTTGCTTTGACACAGCGCACTCCGCTGTGCTCCGCACTCTCGCCTCATAAAGGGCCTCCTCGTCGTGCTCCATGATCACCTGCCGACCGTTGCCCCTCCCATTACACACCCGGTTTGGACAAGAGATAACTCTCGGCTGTTGCACGGCTGAGGGAGTCATCCAAAGGGATTTCGAAGGTTTTTTCTTGCGGGGAGCGACAACCTTTGGGAGGGTTTTGAAGTGTTTTTGGCCGTTGGATGCTTCAAGAAAAAAAGGACCTCTCGGTACGTGTTGGATGGAAACACGTCGTCGTCCAATATCATCACCTCGGACTCACGGGCAAATCCAAGCAAGTTCTGCTTTGGCAAATCGCTCAGACTTTCCTGCTGACGCCAAGTGACTGCGCACTTGCTTCCTCGTGGGTCCAGCAAGCAGTTCTCTGCATCTTCCAGAACCACGTCAAACTCCAACGTTGTGTCGAAGGCATCATCGTTTATGATCTGGATCCTCGTCGCAGGGAAGCACGCACCAAACGATCGCCGCCGCACACATAAAAGCCCTTGCCGAGGCTCTGAAATGTCCGAATGGACTCGCCGGGACCGAACGTGACCACACCATTACCTACGAGGGGGAAAGTCACATGCTGCTGGTGTAGCTCTCTACATCTGGTTCCTGCAAGGGTGCAACACATCCCATGAAAACCGGGTGGCCCTCGACGTACTTTTCCCCGTTCACCGCCGAGCCATCCTGCAACTCAGACATGTTCAAATCATCTTCAAACAAAGTATGTACATGCATTTGCATCTGCGTTCGTATGCATGTGTGCGTGTGTTTCTATATACACGTGTATATACATGCATATGTTCTCTATGTACATATATATATATATATGCGTGTGTGTGCATATTGACTTATCGTATGTACGACCCCCCTACACATTCAAAGGGGCGGCTTACAGCCCTCGACCCCGAGTCATATATTGCCATGCTTTAACTTGGCTCCTCGGTGTGCCACGACACTGCACAGGAGCCCTGCAAATTGCCTGAGGCACGATGCAAAACAAAGCAAGCGAAATGGCAATGGAACTGGAGCGTGATTTGGAGGGCCCCTCAATCAAATGTGCCTATGCGAATCACGCGTACGATGGCGAACTCTTCTGTCTCGGATACGTAGAATATTCTGGACAGAAACTGCACCACGTCATTCTTGTCCTCGCCGCGCAGGAGAAAAAAAGAAAGGCCGCACACTGCAGGTGTATCATCATGCATCCATGTCGCACATTTCTGAGTACCAGATGGGAACCCCAGCTTCAAACATCAACGGTCCTCCTGGCTTCTCGTCCGAGGTGCGGAAGCCAGCCGGGGTACGGTAGCCGGCGGCGAAGCAAACCTCATCTCGTGATGACTCAGCTACTGCCAATTGCTTAAGAGCCCCCAAAACTAAGCATTTTTCCTTCTAAGAGCAATATAGGGATTACTATGTTTTCTTTTGGGGTTCTTAAGCAAATAGTAGGCCATCATACCTTCGAAAGGAAGATGGTGAAATTGATACTCCCCATATGATGCCGGCTCACTGGTACTTCTCAATAGGAAGAGGATGACTCGAGAGTTCCCGCGATCTTCCGCTTTGGACCTTACGTTGGACGGACACATTCCTCTGGATGCCTTCCATCTCGCCCCTTGCACTGAAAAAAGACTCGACCTGAGATACTCACCGGCACACGCCGATCATTGGAAAGGGAACCTTGCGAGCCAACGAGTTACCAGCACGTGAGTTAGTTGCGTGAGTTGCGCAAACGTCCCGGAATTGCATGCAACTATTCTTCTCTGCACTGCAAGTGAGCTGCGCATCCGATTGCTCAAATCCAAGGTGCTTATCAAGGGCTGCGCCCCGTTGAAGCGCGACATGGCTTTTGCAATGCCACACGGCCACTGTTGGCATAGGCACTGCGCCAGAGAATCCAACTTTGGCTAAACCACGTGCTTGTGATCGGGGCAAGGCTGTGCTAGAGCTGCCAGAGAACTCAACCAACAAAGACAAACAGGTGCCTACCATGATGAGAGTTCATGATGGTACATGCTTCCTAGCTAGCTGTGTCCATGAACCATGCGAGACGAATGCTTGCCAAAATGGGAGCATCTAGTCAACATGAATCCAAAGACGCAATTGAAAACTGCACTGTGTATACTGATGCCTCATCCATCTCATCCGTCGCAAAAAACTCCACGAACTCTGCCTTCCAAAGATCTCGCTTGGAGCGCGATGCAATTGCGCAAGCCTCGTCTTCCCTGTGAAATAGAACTCCGTCGAGCCACCACTTGCAGTGTCTTGTGAGCATGGTAGGAGGCCCCAATTTCCTTAACTTTCGAGCACACACTGCTTCCTGCGGACACTGACTGAGGTTGTAGGTCACCTGCATCGCGAATGACCAGATATTTCTGGGTCTGTTCCTGGTCTATGACGACGCCCTCCCCAGCCTAAGGCACAGCAAGACTCGTGCTGTTTCACTTGGACCACAATGGAGAATCAGAAGGAACATCTTAGCATGAGACTTTATCGTTCCACTTCAGAACATATCCGAAAGTGCGAGGATACCTGGGCTTCGTGACACAAGAAACCGACTATGCTGCCTGCATTCAACAAGCTGAGGTTATGGCTCAAACTGCGCACACCACCGGCGGTGTCTTAGGCGCCTTAAGTACTTCGCTCGTGTGGTTCCTTCGAACCTGCAAATGGCAATAAACTCAAAAGGCAAGCACTGGGCATGGATGCACTCTGGCGTGCCTGTGTTTTTTCTCGGCAGGAACCCTCAGGGCCTGCATATGCACCTCTTGCCAGGAAAGAAGATATCTTTGCTCACACGCCAATCCGAGTTGACGTCGCTCTCTGCACTTAAAGCATCATGTTGCAGTGTAGCTCCGGCAGTGCATCGACACACCGTGCAGCATTTGGGAAGCAGCATCTCAAGGGTCTGTTCTTTGCTGCCTGTGTTTCACTTGCTTTCCTCTGTGCTGCTTGCACAGAAGAAAAGCCATCCACGAAAGTGCTCTCAGAACCTGCACAAACCGGCTGATGACGAACCGAATCGACAGCCGCACCGAGCTTCATTCATTTTGTCAGCTTGGCAATTGGCGCATCAAGGCAAGGACTTCGGGTCAGCCTGCTTCGCTCAGCTTCCATAAAAGCAGTCCCACCGCTGCCAACAGAGCATATCCTGCAACAAGGAAAGTGCTGCCAGGTCCGACCTCTACAAACGTTCAAATGGCCTACGGCCAGCGTTCCCGTCGCACGGCCAGCTGGCCGACATCGCGCCTGGAAGCGAAGGGGGCAGCTGATCGGGCTGACGCACTGCATGCACCAGAAGAACATCCACCCCCAACACTCATGTAGCTTCCGTGCTACCGGCACCTGTCCATGCATCACCATGCCGGGAGCAAGGCCCCGGGTTGACAGTTTGAGCAACTGCCAACTGATGAACGCACCATGTCGTTGTGCATGCTCGGTTTTCTGTCCAATCATCTGGTTCTCCTGTCGTGCCCCTCAGTTTTTCTTTCTTGATGCAAAATCGTCGACATGAACGTATACGGAAAAGACTTGCCTCCGTTGTATCGATAGAACTGGACGTATTGAAAGGCATTTGTTAGTTCATTGCCCACAACACACAGATGAATAATTCGACTCCAGTTGCAAGACCTCAACAAAATTTTCCTTACTCAAACAATGGGTGGCAAATAATGGTCCCCCATATCCAAACCATTGGGCTTTTTTTGTGGTATGGGATTAACACATTGATCCCTGATCACCTACAGTACCTTTTGCAGTGCAGGTGCACTTCAGTTGGGGATGATTTCTCGTTGGAAGCGAACGCAACGGTGAACACGGTTTCCTTGCCCATTTAAACTTTCAAGGTTGTTGCTTTATCATCTGCAAGCACCAATCCTCTTGGTGAAAACGTCAAGTGGCAGGCTTTCCGGAAAATCTGCCCTCAAACCAAGTGTTGGGAACAAAACGTCAGAGACGCGCAGGGTGCGGTCATCATCACTACTACAGGCCTTGATCAAGCCATACGCGCCACGAGAGGGCTTGGGCTACAATTCCGACTGGGGCACTTTCCTCGGGGGCTAGTAACATAGAGTCCCTCGCGTGTCCCCTTGCCCCATGCAGCCACCCTCGTGTAGGGTATTGTGTCCACCACGGACGCGGCGTCCACACCAGCGCAAGCATTCCTCAACCTCCTTCAAGAAGACGCAGGCAAACCTTTTGCAATTAAGCAACTTTTCCTCACCAAGGCTTTCGAAGGCATCAACCCATGGAATCCATGGTATCTTGAAGGCCTACGTACTCGAACTGCACCACGATGGGTCATCAGCTATGTTGTCCATCTGACTTTCGGCCAACAAGCGCAACACAAAATACAAGGTACGGCAATTTGCTTTTTGATGGTCTCACTGTTAGGCAGCTGCACGCGGACTTTGCTATCCTCTTCGGCGCTTTCGCTAGCTCCATGCAAATGTTAAAGCAAGACAGCAATGCTGTTCAAGTTTTTTCCGTTGGCAAATTGTCACACGAGCCCGTTGTTCCTGGAAGCCAAGGTCATTCTTGCTAAGTTCCAACATAATGCTGCCTAGAAACAATTAGCTTTCGTACAATCAATGCCCGCAGTTAGTTTACGGTTTTGTGTTTCGGGGTTGTGAGGCCGAAAGGAAAAACTCAAAGAAACGAGTTTTCCTGATTTAAGCAAGAAAGCAACATGCAGGCCCAAAAAGGAGCGATCACATGACAACAGCGACAAAGGTCCCCGAAATTTCGGCAGCAGCTTAAGAGCCCGCCAACATGAACATCAACAAAATTTCTTGCTGCCTGAAAGCTTGAGCATGCGCGGAACGTTCACAACGTCCAAGCAAATCAAGTCCCATCAATCAATCAATAAAATTTGCAAAGACAAAAGAACAACTTCGCAAAAAGTCTTTCGTCAAATGGACACAAGGTGCGCACTGCGCACGTGCGACAGTACGCGCACGACAAGCAGAACACCATATTCCTTAAAAGAAAAACACTCAAACTCCCACCTTTATGAAACGCGCGCGCGCGCATCATATCAAAAGACACTGCTCCTACGCCTTGACATCGATTTTGGAATAAAGGCACCCACCCAAAATCAGAACAGCCCACAACAAGAAACACACTCCGCTGGACAAGTCCACTCTGCGTGGCTCAATGTTCAACTTCAGACAGATGCAGCTGAGCAACAAAGCGCAATTGGAGACACCATTTTGAGACGGCAACTGCAACAATCAAGTACGAACAGAACTGCTCAAACGAGAAATACTGCAACGTGAGGTTGCACACATGGCAAAAATATGACTCCACGCAAGCAACAACACATCTGAATTGGAGCACAGCGTTGCTTCGTCAGCACTGCATCCACCACAACATACAACAACTTGTCCAGTCTCCATGAGGCGAGAGAACTCTTGCAGCACACCGATGATTTACTGTGGAGGTCACTGGAGCTTCCCGACCTTTTCGATCAATTTTGCTGCCCCTCATCTTGGGTTTCAGATTCTCCAGGTTTTGGTGCAAGGCCTGAAGGCAGAAGAGAGAAGAAAAGAAGGGTGCAGAGTCAACATCGGTGGAAACTGCAGCTTGGAAAAGTTCAATGCTTTGAAGCAAGCGTTTTTAAAAGCCTCTGACAGTGCCGTTTGGACAGAAATCAACTGCAGGACGAGACGAGTTCAACCGTGGCGTTGATTCGTTAACGCGCGACGCCCAAGCCAAACCACTTGAAAATTGCAAAGTGTATTACCAGAATGTGAGTAAGTGCGAGCGAAGCGAGCGAAGCACCAGAGTAAATTCAACAAATTTAACTGATCAAGTGTTGATTTTGAGGGTTTATTTTCAACATGTTCGGAGACTTCAGAAATTTTGAGAATTCGTTGAATGGTGCTGAATCCAGGGAAGAATTGCAACACGCAACCAAAACGAAAGACAAAGAATTGAGGCACCCAGCCTGAAAGAAAGCAGAGTTTCTTCTGCTCAATCTTCTATCAAATTTCAGTGTGCCTTGAATTTCTGTTTGGCCATTTTGGAAAATCAAAGACAAGAGAACACAATCGAAGCTTTGTCAACGAAAGTCGAAGCCGGGCGCGGTGTCGGGCGCGGTGTCGCGCGCGGTTAACTTTAACCGCTCAAAACGCCGCACCGCCCGCAGGGCGGCGCGGCGTCAGCCGCGGCCGCTCGAGGCGCCGCGACCTTTTTTAAGGGGCCTCGCAGCAAGAGCGGACCGCCGCTCAAGGCGTCACGTCTTCAAAGGAGGCGTACGCAGCCTCACAAATCGGCACCCACAGTCCGCAAGTGGAAATGCGGCCACCAACACGCCGCTCCAAGGCAGCAATTCCAGGCCACCATCCTTGAAGAAGCTGTCCTCTGGCCTAGCAAACCCACCCATCAAGCTGACAAGCCACCCTACGGAAACACAAGGCAACACAAGACCAACACTGCCAAACAACCACGTCAAAAACGCACGGCTCTTTTTGTACGGCAACTCTGGCAAACTTCTTGCAGCTTCTGCTTTCTGCTTGCTAGTTCAAGACTCTGATTCCTTTGTTGTCAAAAATAAGCTCTTCTTCTTCGGGATCGATCGCACCAAAACAGCAGGAACCTCCTCCGCAGATTTCGTTTCAGGGCCGCAAAGACTTGAAAATCATCTGTAAAGGCAAACCAATGCAAAAACTGAAAGGTGCGCTCGCTCATGAATTTGTGTCTCCATTGCCTCAGCTGTGGTGTTGATGGACGCTTGCCGACCTCTGAAAAGTTGCAAAGAACCCATCAACTTTTGAGTGCCCCAACCTTTGATTTCTTCCACTTATTGTCGCCCATCAAAGATCTGAGCTTGAACCTTCGAGTGAACTCTGGTGGGCTGGCTTGTGTCGGACGTTGCTGTGCGCCAGTTTTCTGAGCAAAAGAAGGTCCTTCAAGGCTCCATTGTACAAACATGGCAATGGCTCTTCAGAGTCCAGCTTCTGTACGTTTTTGCATTGTCTGTGACAGACACTGCCAACGGCGATTCGGCTGGCTCCTGCGGAATTCACGATCGTGTCTTTCAGCTCCTAGATGCTCAAAAAGGGCCTTCTTCACCTTGTTTGGAAGCCGTCAACTTGTCCAAATTACAAAATATCCAAGCAACACAAACACTTTAACAAACGGACAAAACAAGGCCGATGAAACCCAGCAACCTTTTGTTGTCCAAGCCTTTGCTTGGTCAATAATGGGCGTCAACCATTTGCGAAAATTCCCCAAACAAGTCTCTGACAGTGCGGCAAACCTCCAGAATGAGACCAGCTTGATCCGGACTGACATTGATTAGGGACAAGAAGAGCCAAAGAGCACCAACAAGAATCGAAGTGCCAATTTCTTTGTTGAAGAGATCCACTGCGCGAGAAAGATTGCACGCGAACAATGCAAGACTGCTTGTCTTGGATGCCAGCTAAAGACAAGTTTAGCAAGCCAAGAACTGCCGAACTGACCTCCAATCGGAAGGGAAGAACCACTCCACTTGACGGAAAAGGAGTGAAAGTGCTGCCCTCATTGCCACGGGCAAGCAGAGTGGCCACCAAGGCCACCTGTTGGCCAGACTTACCTCCAAAACGGAAGGAGAACCAGCGTCCAGTCCCTGCAATGTGCGCTCGACTCGATGCAAACAGTGTCAAATCTTGTTTCTCTGTGAGTTGATTTCAATTATTATTGAACTCAAATGGTTCCAAAAGCAGCTCAATTCTGGGCACCGAAAACAGGCCGAGATTTTGGATTTCCTGTGGAACATGCAAGAGCCATGCTTTTACAGCTCCTCGTTGCGAGTAAAATAAATAAGCCTCTGACAACTCACGGCCACAAAAAACCAAACATTCGCAACTCAATGTGCAGCACCATGGGTGATTGAATCATGTGCACATGAGCAGAGCGGACAAAACAAGCAGAAGCCGCGCGAAATTGCAGAAACAACGAGAAATGAAAGAAAAGAGTGTGGCTGGAGAGCGGCAAGAACACGATGTGAGGGGAGCAACGATGACGAGGCGACGACCGGCGCAGCCACAAACTGTAGCCATAAACTGAGGCCTCAAACTGCAGCCACAAACTGTAGCCACATGTAGCCACAAAATGCAGCCAGAAACTGCCATCTTAGTCGGTTCAATCAATTCTTCTGTAAGAGTCAATCTGGAAGTGGCTGGATGTCACGTCACGTGTTGTTGTTCAGAAGGGCTCCTCTCAGTGCCATATGTCACGGAGCCAAGCACAATGTGGCTTTTTTTTGGACCATTGCCTCTTTACTACATTAGCAGCGCAGTAGGCCGTTCTTAGGAATCTTAATGCGAGAGGTGAAACGGAGCAGGTGCGAAAACCAAAGCAAACACACACCAAAACAAACACAAAACACAACCACCAACCAGCAACAATCCGAAGAACAGAGCACCAAAAGTCTACGTGTCCCGCGCGCAGCAGTCGAAGTTGTCGCAGAAGTC